CAGGTGAGAAAGCGGACGCAACCTACTACTAGTACTACCCACAGTAGTGACAATCTCACCACGTCAAGAGCACCAGGAAAGACCCCCCCCCCCCCCGCCCCCACCAAACGCTGACACAAACTCGATAAGGCACCTTTGCCTGGAAAACAACAGGGTAAATTGAACAGTAACCAAGTCATAATCATATATGGGGGAGAACAGGTGTAAGCCAGTAAGAAAACGGACCCTACTTTACAAGAACCACAAGAATATAATTTTCATTAATTCAATGCGATATTTCAAACGTTAACGTACACCCAATAAGACACCTTTCTTGGGACAACGGCACGGTAAATCGTACACTAATAACACGCAGACTAAAGGGGAAAAAACAGGTGTGTGCCAGTGAGAAAACGTACCTAAGGCTAGCAGAATCTTGTATTCATTAGGCAGGCAAGCGTTCAGCAAACATGGTCGCGGTGTCTTCTACACGTCTGGCAGCAGGGCGAGCATGATACCGATACCCAGCTCCTGATTACCACGGCTCCGGTACACATGTGTCATAATGACTGCTGTAATCTAGGCCTACAGACGTTGTTATTTTGGTTGTTTGTTTTAACCCACCAAAATATATCAAACAAAAAAAGACGAAGAAAAAAACAACAGATAAAAAACAACAAACCAGCACGAAAACCATAGTGTTGTAAGGGACGTGAAAAAAAACAAAAACCCTGCAGATTCCTAATTATAATTATCTACTTGAGTATTTCGTTGCCCCCCCCCCCCCCCCTTTCCTCCTCTCCCAAATCACCGTTTCGACACTTCACTGAGTCACCGAGACCGTGAAGAGCAGACGTAATGAACGCACAAATTGAACTGGTTTCACGTGACACCCCCTCCCCCCATGCTCCTAGCAGCCCCACTCTCACCTTCTCCCTTAAATAAATTACCAGGAATCCCTGTTATCAGCCCAGGCATTCCTGTATTGGCCTCGTTACTACAAGTGCTGCAGGTCCCACACCGGGCACCGGGACGTGGGAAGAGCGCCGTGTGGGAGGACGGGGTCAGTTTTAACGGCGGGCAACGAGAACCTTCTCTCAGTACCGTACTCTCAGCCTCTGATTCACAGGATTTGGGTTTTCGGAAGTTTTAAAGCACGTGCAACACGTTCAAGTTTTATATATAAGTCCCGAAATTTAGAAAGTAACAATCAAAGAAAAGATGAAAGAGAGTTAGTTGGGTTTTTTTATTCGTTTGTGTGTTGTTTCGTTTTGTTGTTTTTTAGTTGTTTTGTTTTTCCTTGCCGTTGCTTTTTTTTAGGGGGGGGGGTGGGGGGAGTTTTAGTTTTTGTAAGAGTTTTATGGCACTTGCAAAACAAATACGTCAATTATAGTGCCGAAGATTAGAGGTATTACTAGTGAGTAACAAACAAACGACAAAGAAAAGAAGGAAGAGAGGACAATATGTTTGATAGAGGAAGAAAGGAGCAAACTACACCAGAACATCCACCAACCACCCAAAAAACACGTAGGCAAACGGGGTTAGTGATGGAAGCAGAAACTCCACCTCTGACGGACGAGAAACGGGCATCAAACATAAGACCAGAGAGCTTAGAATTACGCCGGTATACAAACTCTCTGATACTGATACGACTCAGGCAAGACGCAGGGATCGGCATGGTTTCCGGTCGAAATGTAGATTATATCATCAACGCTTCCAATCCTCCGACATCAGGAAGGAAAAACCATCATCCCCAGGAAACTCCGGTTTTGTTTTGTTTTGTTTTGTTTTGGGGTTGTCGTTGTTGTTGTTGTTGTTGTTTTTTTTTGGGGGGGGGGTTTTTCTTCTTTCTTTTCTTTTTTTTTTGGGGGGGGGGCGTGAGAGGGGGACAACATTGAGGGAGGTCCGTCACTGAGATAGTAAGGATCATCATGCTATGCAATCAGCACATTTAATGTTACTGTTTCTCTTTTTCCCTTCTTTCCTTTTCCCCCTTTTTTTTTCGTTTTGGGTTTTAAAAGTTACCATTATAGAGTTTATTGTCTCCGTGCGTCAACAAAAAAAGGGTAATGCAAAGCACTGGAAAACCACATCGACATGATAATGTAAAATTAGTTTAGGGGGAAAAGGGCAGACTGACAGACATAAACAACAGATGGAAAGGTTAAAAAAAATTAAAAAATTTAATTTTTTTTTTAAAGTGGGTTCCTCCAACCACCCGCAGGTAAACTGAGGACAAACACACGTCAGATGACAAAAAGAACGGAAAGCTGCATGAGAGGAAGCTTTGTTTGGGTCCAGTCAAAGCCTCTCCAATAAGGTTCCTTCTCTTCGTTCTCACAGACACGTTCAAACCCATAGAGAGGACTACCAGGTGGAGAAGAGGGCCCTGTAAAAGCTTTACAGGATTTATTTTGGTGTTTTCGTTGGGGGGGGGGGGGGTTCTTTCTTGGGATTGGGGGGGGGGGGTGGTCTGTGTCCACCAGGTGTTCGTTCTCGCATACAACGTCAACATGTCGGTTAGTAAGGATATTCCTAAAAGAGTGTATGAGTTTTACGACCCCAACGACACCATTTGGGGGGCGAGCTGTTTCGACCCCACTGTCTGCAAGGGGCCAACCATTGCTGAGTGTTATTATATTCACCCAAAATTCCCTTCACAGATCAATAAAATGTATCTAAATATTTCATCCGAGCAGACAGACGTTGGCAGAAATTTACAATAAAGAAAAAATCCCCATTAGGGAATAAAATTAACGTCTCCTGAGCGTAACAGCAAAGAGCTTTACCGTAACACCACAGAGACGCCCGTGTTCATATTAGCGAGACGCGCCTTGAACGACGTCTTCATTGCTCCTTATCCATGGCGTTCTTTACTTTAGTAAAGTACGCTATGTCCTTATCGCATAATTATTGGCTCGCAACACCTCAGTGCGCATCCCATTTTCCAAGATTTTAGGCCCAGAAAAACTTTTTTGCCATTTCTTGTTCACTTGATATAAGAGCCGAACAGCCAGAAGAATATCATTTAGCATGTCAATAACCGCTCGTCACGTTTTTGTTGGGTTGTTGTTGTTTTTTTGCTTGTTTGGTTGTTGTTGTTTTTTCATCAACATGCAAAGTCATATGTTTATTATTACAATTATTATTATTATTATTATTATCATTATCATTATCATTATTATTATTATTATCATTATTATTTATAACCAACTATTACATATAGATCTATCATTTCAAATTGTCTAAATTTTACAGTATTTTATAATCGTATTTATTTTATTTTAGGGGTAGGTGGGTAGCCTCAAAGTTACTCAAAACATCAGACCATTTAGAAGGCAGAAGTGAAGTGACACCTGACAGCCCAGGGCTCCGCTGTCAGATTGCTGTGTGTCGCTCAAGTCGGAGGAAGAGGTAGAGAGAAAGAAAGGAATGTCACCTGATCTGCTCGTCTCAAGAAAAAGAAAAGAATTTGAAGAATTTTATGTTCTTCGTTCGCGTGTTGATGGGTTGATCGTAAACATGCATCAAAAGCTTTAGAATTTAGTGTAGGAGAGGAAAATAAGTGCTGACTAAGCACTTTGTTCATTCACGAAAAGTGGACAGGCCTGACAGTTCAACTACAGTGTTAAGTTTTCTTGACCACTCTTAAACTTGGGTTGAAGTAGTTTTAGCAATAGTTTTACGGCTCTTGCAACACACATAGGTCATATAAGCGCCAAAGATTAAAGGTGTTACTTGAAAGTAACATGCAAAGAAAAGGAGGAGAGATAGGGACGATAGATGTTTGACGGGAAAGATGAACTAAGCAACACCAGAACACCCGTCAACCATCCCCTAGTAAGTGCTGACAAAGCAAATTTCCACCATTCACGGAAAGTAGACAGACCTTGCAGTACAACTGGGTCTACGATGTTAAGTTTTCTTGGCCACTCCTGGGGCCCGTGAGGGGGACTTTCGCTCCAACAACTTTCTGACAACGTGGACATGTAGAGGACCGCGTCACTTTCTAAACAAGTGGGCTTTCAACCGCGCCGTGGCTATCACTTTGAGATCAAGTGTTTGTCCGTAGCTAATTTTCAAGAGGGTGATGCTATTGTCTCAGATGCCTTAAACGCCGTTGTGTTGGTGGTAAATGGTTGGGGCCAGGAGGGAGGGAAGGAGAGAAGGAGAGAGGGAGAGAGAGAGGGAGAGAGAGAGAGAGAGAGACAGACAGAGAGACAGACAGAGAGACAGAGAGAGAGAGAAAGAGAGAGACAGAGAGAGAGAAAGAG